CAATCTCCAATCGAACCTTTATTTTGTTGCTTCGCTTCGCTTTCCCGGAAAATTCAAAATTTTACCACCATAAAAAAAGAACGTCATTTTCGCAAAAGCTCTTTTTTGATAAATTATTTAACCCTAGAATCGCTTCCATAGATTGGCACAATAAACCTATATGTATATATTTTTGTATTTATTTACTACATAAAAATTTGAAACAGATAATTAACAAATGTGGATCTGTTCGCTTGATACTATTAATGTAAATGGACAAATAATAAAATATACATTGATAAGAATATCAAGTGACAATTTAACTTATAATAATGTTGTATTATACAAATACAAAACATTTTGTCATTACATCAATGATCAATTTAACTTAATAAAAAAATGTTTAATTTAAAAACTAACGGACGAGTTTATTACATAAATAAAACGAATCAATTGTCAACAATTAACATTATTTGTCCGAAGGACACATTGTGATGCAATGCCTATTATCCACATGCGTGTTACGTATGAAACGCGTTTTTATTCCGTTATAAAATTAAGCTTTTCATTTTAGCTAATGAATATGTATGCTTTGAACATTCAACTACCTAGTTCTATAATAAAAATTACAATTCAATTATAACTTTTTATAGTCTTATATAAAAAAATTTCAAACATGAACATTCTTATAATAATAAAACAAAAGAATATCTTAATGATAATTTTAAAAATATATTGGTTTTTGATAATAAAAAAAAACAATTCAAAAAAATGATTACTCATAAAACTAATTAAAAAAAAATATTTAAAACAATAATCCCAAGCATACTGACAATCTAAAATTTTTAAAATTATAGATTAATTTTCTAATAATCCAAATTTAAATTTTAGTTGAACACCTTTGAACTATGTTATATACAAGTTAAAATAAATAATTATACCAATGAAATTTAAGCTTCATTTAAAAAATATTACTATATTATTCGAAAATTTCGAATAAAATTTTATTATTTGAAAAATTAATTCCTTTAGTCGATTATACCAATACTTTCCCTGAAGCCTTAACCAGAAACTTTTATCAAAAATGTCGTTTACTTAAAAAAAGATTTAATGACGAATTAATTATTTTATCAAGGTATCAAGAAAGAATAATTCGGGTTATATACAGTATCAATAAAATATATTTAAATGCAAACTTTTGAATAAAAAAAATATATATCACAAATTTAAACCTTGAGTTTCAAGCTGATAAAAACGTTCACTGGATATACACTATCTAATTTTGAAATTCGTGACTATTTATTTCTACATATAAATTAGTAAATCCACCAAGTAATGTCTGAAGCGTGCAGATATCGGTCTCTTTTGGTTATTTTTTTCTTTGCTTCGCGTCTATATTCTTGATATACTGTACATACGTACATAATGCAGTTGTGCAAAAAATAAACTCAAGTGATATACTACTTCGGGAAACCAATACAACACTCCCTATTAATCACGTGATTGCGGTCTTTGGAGCAAAGTTCTGTAAACTTGGGCAATCAAAGACGAAGCACGTGATTAATCACTCAATCATTCTCCAACAAAATGATAATGTAATTATTGGAAAGTAGTTTGTTGATAAAGTTTTCTTTATTAATAATAGAATTAATTATTCAGTTATTCATATTAATCGCATGAATTTAATTATTTTCTATATGTATACTATACTGTATATAACAAAACGCGCTGATATCCTCTATGCAACTAATAGCATGGAAATAACCACGAACCTAGTCATGATACGTGCCAATATTAACAAGTTCGTTCGCTTTCATTAAAGAAGAATATTTGATTTTATACATGCAAAGAAAAAAGTACATCGCTTAATCAATAATTTACATGGTTTTTTTCTTTATTCGAATTTCCGGTCTTTTGATATTAAAACAACTTGGAAAAAAAATCCAATCCTGCAAACTGTTGTTTTCCATTGAAAATAAATTCCAAACTCGTCAATCATTTTTTGTGCCGCTGCTTTACTTTTTCCGAGCAATCAAAACAATACCATTTCCCTTTTGGTCGATCGGTGAGTTTAACGCATGCAAAGTGAAACCATTCTATCTCGCATTCGGTATTATCGCAGGCAACCATTTCTCCATAACTGACTTGCTTGCAATAACAATATATCGGTTCATTTGGATCAATGGGCATATCTGCCACCGTTTGCGTATCCTCGCTCGTATTTGATTTTTCGGCAGCTACTTTTTTGTTGTTTTTGCCATTCTCTCTCTTCCTTGAAACTTTCCCGGGTTTCTGAAGTTCTTTGTCCCCATTATGTTTCGAAGGTGGTGGAGTTCCTGTGTCTTTGACCTTTTTGCGTTTATTGGTTGAAGGCGTTTCAAGTCCGTTGGTCCCTCGTTTTTCGGCCTTTATTTCCTTTTTGTCTTTTTCACTCTTTTGAACATGTTTGCGAATGGGTTCTTCGCGAGTGGCAACGGTGTTGGTTGTTGAGTTTATCCTGCCGGGTCCCGTCATTTGTTCGTCTTCAAACTTCTGAAGATCATCGTCTAACCTCCG